ACAATAAGTTTTCCATCTTTTAGGAGAGTAGGAATCACAATCTGATAAAAAATCGCATGCTTCTTTTGATCACATGGAGAAAAGACATCGAATGTATCCACTAATAATGGAGTTCCTCGGGGAAGATGTCATCGGATAAAAAATTCTCGTTTGAACTGCTCTTCAATGTCTGCGGTGTTCTCACCCCATGTTTCAACAACGCCCTACGTCGTGAAATAGATCACTCTCCTGATTGTCAATTCTGTTTCCTCATGTTTGAATCCGTGGCACTTGCAACATTTTAGCGACGGACTTGCGGATTGGTTTTGCTAGATAATAGTCTGAGGGGGGGGTGGGTCGCTTGGTGATATGGTCTCTTCTCTTTGGAAGCTAGAGTTTGCAACTTTTGCGGTAGTAAGTTGGTAGGGATCACCGTTGTGTTTTCTGCTTCATTTTCACATTTCTCTTTCTTCCCTTCGACCTTCTAGATCATGATCAATGGTAACTTCCCATTGGATTTTCTCTTCAATATCCGTAAGTCTTTGTTGGACTCAGTAGGCTCGGACATATTTTTTCTTGGCGGCATAGTTGACGGTTTTGGGATCTGTGGAAGGAATGAAAGAAGAAACAAAGAAAGAAGAGAAAATAAAATACAAAATAAAGAACAAAAAAATTTGGTGTGGTAGAATGGGTAGGGCAGATGCTAGAACCCTAGGATGAGACTAGAATTGAGCTAGCTCTGATACCAAATGATATATGAGGAGAAAACCTAAACCACAAAAGAAACACAAATTTTATTATCGAATTTGAAATATGTTACAAGTACTCTTCAAAACATAAAATAAACAATAAACAAACACAAAGACACAAGCTAACACCTCGAAAGTGTGTCCCAAGTGTGGTGGAGGTTGGCCAAGTGGGTCCGGAGGCATGGGGACAGCAAGCGTAGATGCGGGAGAGGGTCAACAAGGGTTGGGAGGTGAACTGGAGAAGGGAGGTAACAGGTTAAGGAGGCGGGAAAGTTTGTTTGGCGGTTGGTAGGTAGGTTAGAAGGTGGCGCAGCAAGCTGGGAAGGTGGGGTAGCGAAAATGAAGGCTCTTTAGCATATTCGGAGGGTGGACAATGAGCGGGGAAGTGCTGGCAGCAATGGGAAAAGCCTGGACAGCAAGGCGAACTGTTGGAAGTGGGACGGTTGAGTGCTGGGAAGAATTCTGGACAGGTGGACTGCAAGATTGCGTTCTTCAAAAAGGGCGGCTGAGTGTTAGGATGGAGTATAAGGAGTTGCAGCCTTGCTGGAAGAAGGCTGTTAGTAGGTTGGAGGGAGGGCAGTAGCTGGCGTTTGTTGGGGAAGAGGTGTGGTGGTCTGCTATAGGGCTGAAAAGTGGGTGGACAACAGTGAGAAGGGTGGAAGGATAGATAAATATCTTGTCGGGGTCAAGCTGTAGCCAGAGCACCACTCGTACACGTGGAGACGATCACTATCTCAGATGAGGAACTACCGGAGCACTACCTTGACGTCGAATACAACTGTCAAAGGGGAAAATACCAAGGCTAAAATCCGATTTCATATATCAAAAATAAGACACCCCTAACTCTAAGCACATCATCCCATATTTTTAAAGAGGATAGACTTATTTTAGGTATTGAAAATAAAGAAGGATAATAAAATATATTTAGGTTTTCAGATTTTAGGAAGAGATTTAAAATACGAAAGTGCTTTGGAATGAAAGATTAAGAGGGAGAGAAAGGAAATGTGAGGAAGAAAGCAGGAAGAAAAGGCAAAGAGAGAGGAAGGAAAAAGGGAATAGGGAAAGGAAGAAAGGGAAGGAGGGGGCGGCAGCCCACCCTCCCTCGAGGACCGACCGCTCCTCCGACCCCCGCTTCACATCCATACGTAGCCCTACCTCCAACCAAAATTTTTCTGTCGCCCTACATCACTCCTACACACCTTCCACCAACCCAGTCCAAAGCCTAGTTATGTTGCTGAAGAGATAATAGCAGGAAACCGGATTGAGGGAAAAAGGTACAATTTTGCTTATGAGGAATCCACAAATAGGTGTCTAGGAGATTTCTAGGCTAGGGAGGATACATAGACGGAAATTCTCCAACTGTAGTAAAGGTTTGCTGCTATGAAGAGGAGACCATCCTAAGGGGTCACACGAATTCTAGTCGATTTTCAAGATGAAGAATCATTACTCCAAAAATTTGGCATGAAATATTGGAGAAACCATAATTTTGAAGTAAATATGGAATTGCCCTATTTTGATGGCCACATGAGATCTTACTTGCTTCCATGGAGAATAGAGAGATTGGAGTTGGAAATAAGTTTGTGCATAGTGATGCCCAAATCCGGATTAGTTCATTGAATGACTCTGGATCTTGGAATGCGTCTTTGAGTGCGAGGACGTCCCCATAGTTGGAATGGTAAAACTAGTCACCAACAAGTTTAGGAATGGTGCATCTCAATGATGAGCGAACTTGAAGATTCTTTGACATCAAAAAGAGAAGAGTAAAATTACTACCTGATTCAAGATGAAAAGGGAAATGCAGCGCGAGTACCTACTCGCACAATCAATGTATCACTTGCACACCCAAAAGTCCTAATTTAGCTTAACGACCAATTAAGCACCAAATTGTGTGAATAAATACCAATTAAGCACCAAATTGTGTGAATAAATTCTCAGATAATGGTTTCGATCTCTACTGTTCTGTTGCCTTAAGGAATGAATTGAGGTCATGTACCAAACGCCCATTTATGATTTCATGGCTTATAAATGCTATTCACTTGGATTTCTTGATTTTATTTCTTCTCTTGATAAATATAGATTCCAAACAAAATTCATGAAGGTCTCACAATTTCCAAGTGGATGAAAGCTGTAACGGAAGAAATCTTGTATTTATGAAAGAATGGTTCATGAAAAATTAATGAAAATTACACCAAAAAAATAATCATTGGGATGTAAATGTTTCTTTTCAGTCAACTAAGTAGATGAGAGAATTGATAAATTTAAATCTTGACCTGTTGCAAAAAGGTTCCCTCAACCATATACTATTTATTGACTATCTACAAATTTTCTAGTTGTTGCTAATTCAACACAATTTAAAATTTGCTCACTTTTTGCAAATTTGGATTCGCTTTACATCAACATGACTTGAAAAATATTGATATTTTTTAACGGGACCTCGAGAAGGAAGTTCACATGAAGATCCCATATATATTAAAAAAAATTCTAGAAACAGCAATAGGTTATGTTGACTTAGACAAACTCTATGTATGGCCTAAGCAAATCTCCCACTGCCAACTTCAGCAAATTCTCTAAATATGTTGAGAAGTATGGGTTCGCTAATATTCAAAATGATCATATTATTTATCAAATGCTCACTTAAATGGAGAAATAAAGATGATTTTGATCCTGCATGTGGATCATATTATATTGATTGTTGATTTTGAGGAAGCACTTACTAAAATAAAATGCTTTTTGGAAAGAGAATATTTTGTAAAAGTTCTTGATATAGAAGTGACATGATCAATGGAAGATATTTTTATTTCTCAAATGAAGTGTATTCTTGATCTACTACAAAAAAACTGAAATGCTTAGGTGTAATCTACTAGAAACTTTAATGGATATAATAAAGAGAATTGGAATCACCACTAATTGCACGCTCATTGATAAAGGTTGGTATTAATGCCTTGTGGACGAAATCATTTTACTCTTTCTTAACCATCCTGATATTAGGTTCTTTATTAGTATAGTAAATTAATATATGAATAAACCCTAGTGAAAGCCACAGGAGTTGTTAATTGCTTTATAAAATACCTCGAAATGACATCAAGAAAATGTATGAAAAAAGTGGTAACATGGAGAAATAAAAAATAGCTTGTGATCTTAAAAAGGCCTAAAGCTGAATATATGACAGTGCTCATGGTATTTATGAAGGAATATATTGAATCATCTTTCTCAATAAAAAAAATTTATGAAGGAATATTGTTAAAAAATACTAAAAGAATTAAATTCTTGAGTAAAAAAGATCTCCAGTTGTGTATTGTGACAGCAGACTGATACAATTAGTACAAAAAATTGTCCATGATGATGCGACTATACATATTAAGACAGACTGACATTTCATTTTAGAAAAATAATGAAAATGAAAGTGACCAACTAAATTATATTCCAATAAATTCTTAAACTACAGCTATTCTTACGAAGGCTTCAAGAAGTTAGACATGATTAACATATACATCTCAGGGGGGAGCATTGAAATATTTTGTGGCCAAGATCTTTTCATTTACAACAACCCAACAATATGTGAGCATGATTTTATCTACAATAGTCTAATAATCATAGACATTAGCTTTCCGTTTGCGATAATTCAATTTCCCCAAGGACCAAATAGGCTGGCAAGACACAGTTCACATTGTTGGTTACTTTGTTTCATATTTTATTCCTGTACAATGTACTTTTTATTTGCCATATGCCGCTGTATACGGCATACCTTGGGCCATCTCAATCTGTAAATATAGGTGGCAGTCATGAGGTATTGGAGAGCTCTTAAGTGAGAATTCTTCCTACTTCCCTGGAAGAGCCGAAATCCTTGTAATAATTTATTTAGAAAAATAAAATCACGAGAGGTTTTTCCTCTTCTCCTTTTGGTCTCTACCTCTTCACCTGTTCTTCTCTTTTCACATTGCTCTTTCCTAGGCGGGATGACTACAGATATATCAGGATCCAACAATTACTATTATGCTAGCAAAATTTTTTTATTTTCATTCAAGTCCAAATTCTTAAGATTATAGGCTTGTCAACTAAATATTCTTTGTCCTACTTTATTGATCACTTCGTTACCATCGTAAACTAAGGGACAAATGATACTTTGGTTAATTATACTCATGGGCATGCATGCTCTGAACTTGGTGCATTCATATTTATATAAAATTATGCAGGCATTGCATAGTTCTCCCCTAATTTGCTTTAGAATGAAGAAATTTTTTACTCATCCCACTGTTTTACTGTTATTGACAGATTGTACACTGGAAAAATCATTTGAAGTTTCCAGAAAATGCAAAAATTTCTCTTGAGGCGAAAGATCTCATCTCTAGACTACTCTGCGATGTTGAACATAGGCTTGGCAGTCGGGGAGCTGACCAAATAAAGGCAAGAAGCCAGCTTACCCTGCCCCACCCTTTTTTTATTGAAGTCTAGATATTTGACTTTGCTAATGTTGCTTCAATCTATTTCTTCTCAGGCTCATCCATGGTTTAAAGGTGTAGAATGGGATAAGCTGTATGAGATGGATGCTGCATTTAAACCTGAGGTTAACAGCGAGCTTGACACTCAGAACTTTCTGAAGTTTGATGAAGTATGATGATTTTGTCGATCTATATAATAGCCTATTTCTTAATGGTAGATGCCCTGCATAATTTGTTTTCTCATCTGGTTGCATGGTCTCTCTCGTCTATATTTGTCTTGGTTTGTTTATATTTGTTGTGTAATTTTTCCTCATTTGTATGCCACCGTTGTCCTAAAAATTTAGTATTTGATAGGTTGTTAGATATTGAGCTCTACCAAAGGATTCTATTATGTTAAATAAATAATTTTAAGAATAAAATTTAAAAAAAATTAAGAATTAAATTGTGTTTCACTGCTCAAATTCTAATGATAAATTATTTTATCAAGTATTTTTTCTTTGTTTGATGAATCATATACCAGTTGGATCCTCCTCCAGCAAGGACGGGTTCCGGACCCTATAGGAAGGTAAGATCTTTCAATCTAGCAATGTGCTTTCAAAAGCTATCAACCTTGTAAAATGCCTTCCTTTGCCCTTTTCTGTACATTGATGCGAAATTCGGATGTTCTGATTGGGTATTTCTTTGTTTGGGCATTTAGCAAGAAAATTCTAGCACGGATTCATTCATCATGGTCTTCTTCATCATCTTCAAGTTTTTTGTATTTGATCTTTTTAGTACATGCATAGTTGTTGATTTTGTTTGCAGATGTTACTAACTCCTAAAGATATAAGTTTTGTCGGATATACCTACAAAAATTTTGAGGCTGTCAAAGGTGTACATCAGTCTAAAGGTACCCTATTTGCACTATATATGCTTTAAGATTGTTGCACTGGATTCTTTATATTTTCTATCTCAAGAAACTCCTTAAACCAGCTTATCCCACTGTAGCAAATTCTTTTCTTACGTTCAGAACCTTTTTCTGGAAGCTGAAATTAAACATTCTATTGTTTGATGCTACTTTCCTGTGTTATTGGCTTTTCCAAACATGAATATTAATTTTTTTCTCCATTTTCTTCTTTTAGAGAAGGTGGTGCAGTTTATTCATATTTTTAAATTTGTCTAGTTTAATTTTATTATGTGAGCAAGTTATTAAGGTAGTGATTAGGGCTAAATTTTCATGGTCTCAAATTATAAAGATAGATGAGTTAGTTCCAGGTTAATATTTCTTTCAGAAAACTTCTCCCGTGCTTCCAATTTTATGGAACTCTTCTTATTGACAGAGGGAGCATATTAAGGGTTGTAGAATCTTGGAAATAGAACCTTGAAAAATTAAGGAGAGGAGAAATAATTTTTTAGCTGCACTCGAAAGTGCTAAGGGCAAGAATTTGCCTCTTATTAAAATAAACCTCTATTTATAATAGGTGATCATAACTAAAATAATAGAACAACCCTACCTAAAAAAAAAAAAATCAGAACTATCCTAAAGATTGCTACACTTTTACTCCTTACAATCTCGTAGAAGTTCTAGTGCATATAATAAGAACACACGAGCATAAGTGATGAAATATAACCCTGACGTAAAAACATGAAGAACAGAAGTTCCTATAAATGATCCATGATCAGATATAATGTAGAAATCTGAGAAGAATTTATGGAGAATTTGGTTGAGATATCTTAAGAAACTCTTGATTATTTTATTCCCTTCCTATGCTATGTCTTTTTTTTAAAATTTTAGAATTAGTTCTTTTCTTATTTTAGGTTATATATATTTGTTATGTTTATAATTTAGGAGAGATTGCTTTCCCTATATATATATATATATATATGTTGCTGAAGAGATAA